GTATGTAGACACAGTAGTGTTCTTGGATATCTTTACTGATCCAAGAACAATACCGTGTCTACATACTTTCTACTTAACTGCATCAAAAGTTGGAACGAGGCTTGTTAGAGAGAAAGAAAGAGGCTGAGCAGAAGTCAACATCGAAGGAGACGACATCTCGAACTTCGAGATGTAGGTAAACGAAGAAGGAAGCTCATTGAGAAGCTTCCTACTTCGTTTACCTACAACTCGCTGCTTCAGCTTTTCAGCGTCTTGAAGTCAAAGGCTGAAGAACAAGAGCCAACAGCAGATTTCAGAGTGTGTAAGTTRYAAAAAAGGAARCATATTTGTCGGATTTTGTCGTCAATGTGAAGGATTGATTTGTAATAAATGCATCAACCAACACAAAACAGCAAAACCATCATATAACGCTGTGTAGGAAATTCAAGACACAAAACGTCAACAGCTACATCCCGGCGGGTACTCCCATATATTTGCTATACGGGGACCGTGTAGCCGTGCGATGTTTTTGTCAATTTCAGCCATTTCTTGCGTTTAAAATAAAATTTTCGAAAGCAAACCCCACCACGATTCTTAGTATATAATAGGGTCTTAATGGTTAAAATATGAAGGATTTTGATTTTTCATCATTTGCCGCCCTTTGCTCGGTGTTATCAAACTCATTAATAATTCATAATGTCATTAGCCAATTATATACTGAGAATCTAATCACGTGATATACCTTTATATTGGATAAAACGTGCAGCAACTTCAAAGTTGGGGGCGGCTTTGAATATTTTCAGGGGAGTGCGGGGCTGATTATTATTCAACGTTTTCCTGATACAGACCTAATTAATAAAACATTAGTTCTGTATCATTGATACAGAACTAATGTTTTATTAATTAGGTCTGTATCAGGAAAACGTTGAATAGTAATCAGCCCCGCACTCCCCTGAAAATATTCAAAATGTCTAAACTCGCGTGCAATCAAACACAAAAAAAAAACACACTGAAAAATCAATGTCGTAGCTATGTTCGTTTCCTCTTGATTTACTCGATCGTCAGATAAGCTTCGCCGTTTTTCTTCGCGCCCCGTGTTGTATGAATTTGACCATCCAAAAAATCAACAACTCGGCGTTCATATCATCAAGACTAGTGTCAGCATCTTGGAATGACTCGCTGGTTTAAAACTGAAACTGGTGCTCCCATTTATGGCTTTCTTGCTCACACGGTCTTTTTGCCAGTCGCAAAATAAGGTTGCGGCCCATTTTGTTGAATACTTKGTGGAACACTCGCCYAAACAATAGCRCTTTCCTCTATGTTCGACATGTCTTCGAGGGAGAAATGGAAGCCAACTGATTTAATTTTTGAAGTTAACTATGAATGCCTAATATCTTGCAATTCCTTTGAGAATTCTAATTTTCCATAGTTTGGCAAGCACATTCTTAAAAAAAAAAAACAATAGGAAAATGAAGAATTTTCAGGAGTAAGTAATAAAAGCTTCATCTGCAAAATCAAACTTTCAATCAATCATTTAGAAATTCCCTTGATAATTCAGTCGTTTCGTGAAACAATGGCACCATACAAACAGTTATATATGACGAATATTTAATAACGGCGACATACGTTACCGCTGATAATCGATGAATGCAGCAAGATATTCGATCAATTTTTCAAAAGCATTATAATGTGAATTATTATAAAGTTTGATAAGCCGTATACAGAACTCGAGAGCGTGTTGTATCGGTGCTAAAGATCCTCGCCTTCGGCTCGGATCTTTATCACCCGATACAACACGCTCTCTCGTTCTGTATACATTACTTAGTGGACATTCGCTCTTAAGACCCGCGCTATATATATACGCCGAACTTAACATGTGCCAAATACAACTCTTATTTTAGTCGACTTAAATCATTGAGTACGGCATTCGATTTAGACGCCGAATTTAAGTGACGAATTTAATTCCCAATCCCCTCTCGGTCATGTATGAATGCGGAAAGAAACCAACAAACTCAATAACACTGAATCAGTATCATTTGATATTTTCGGAAGAATGCGGAGCAAAGAGAGTCGTTTGTCTCGTGATCTGTCAAGTTTGCCTGGCCAACATGGCGGAACTTAAACACTTCTAATGACGACTTATAAAGTAGAAAGTATGTAGACACAGTAGTGTTCTTGGATATCTTTACTGATCCAAGAACAATACCGTGTCTACATACTTTCTACTTAACTGCATCAAAAGTTGGAACGAGGCTTGTTAGAGAGAAAGAAAGAGGCTGAGCAGAAGTCAACATCGAAGGAGACGACATCTCGAACTTCGAGATGTAGGTAAACGAAGAAGGAAGCTCATTGAGAAGCTTCCTACTTCGTTTACCTACAACTCGCTGCTTCAGCTTTTCAGCGTCTTGAAGTCAAAGGCTGAAGAACAAGAGCCAACAGCAGATTTCAGAGTGTGTAAGTTACAAAAAAGGAAGCATATTTGTCGNGGGTACTCCCATATATTTGCTATACGGGGACCGTGTAGCCGTGCGATGTTTTTGTCAATTTCAGCCATTTCTCGCGTTTAAAATAAAATTTTCGAAAACAAACCCCACCATGATTTTTAGTATGTAATAGGGTCTCAATGGTTAAAATATGAAAGATTTTGATTTTTCATCATGTGCCACCCTTTGCTCGGTGTTAGTGGACATTCGCTCTTAAGACCAGCGCTATACGCCGAACTTAAAGGGACACTGTCAATGGATGGCATGCGCAGTAACAGTCTCACCTCTAACGGACTTTGAAAGTATTACCTTCGAGGTAAATCATTTTGTGGTGCTTTTGACACACTTTGGAATATTCTAGATCTGTTTACGTTTACGAGCTGATTTATGTCGCGCCAACTTGGAGTCATAAACTTGAAAACACTAGCCTAGTGTTTTCAAGTTTACTCGCGCATGCGTGCCATTGACAGTGTCCCTTTAAAGGCGA